GGGGGGGAATTAAACATGAAACCAGTTCCTTTTTTTAATCTGAGAAAGTTATGTTATTAGATGCTGACAGAAATTAGAAAAGAACTACCTGAACTCTTTTTGATGTTTTGGGACTTGTTTTCATAAATAATGGGTTGATGATTCATTCCAGTGTTTCTTCTTTTAAATACTTCAAATATTCCATGCATACAGTACACATTGCTGTGCCTTTGTCTCTCGTCTGACATCTTTGACTCTGTGTCATATTTACGATGACTTTTCCTCACCTCCCTATGACCTCTCATCTCACTGTAAACACACACAGAGAAAATATTCATGAATGACTTGAGGCCAACAAAAATTTATATGACTAAAACACAGCAGCATAAACAAATAAATCGGTCCACAGTAAAGGGAGAACGTTTTTATATATTTATATCAGCGGCTGACATGTGTTCTGTTAAATGTCAAGGCTCTTCAACTTGAATTGGATGTGATAGATTGCGCAAAGCCCGAGGACCCTTTCAGTTTGCATCGGCCAAGTCGCTCTGACATTTTCATGTATTCATTTTTGCAAAACACAAACTTAGAATATATCAGTCTGAAGAAATCTGGGACTGTGCCGTAAACAGGACATCGTAGATCATTTAAAGAGGTCACTCGGATATGTTGTTTACTTTCAACATAGCCTCACTCAAATTTAATCGGGAAACTTGTGAAAATGTGGGCTGAGTGGGCTGAGGTGATTATTTACTCAACGGCAAAAAGTGGTGGCATTTAATTGGCACACGTTAGTTGGAGGCCTTCAGTGATGCAAGGCATTTTTATAATACACATTAAATATGACACATAATAATTGATACTTTTCAAATAAATACTCATTTGGAAAATTAATAGACAGAGCTGCCTTGAGGTACGAGTGACCAGACTTCCAAGTCCATCAAGATACAAGCAGTTGTTAGGCCCTTTTTGTTGTTGTTGTTGGTTTTGTTTGTTAGTTTTGTTTTGCTAGCCACAATGTCAAAATAAAATGCGAGAATGTATGTGGCAGTGAACTGAACTCAACTTACATTGACCAAACGGTGAAAAAAAAACAAAAAAACTAACAGATGAAAAGAGCATTCAAGTTGTTGAATGCCGCTCCAATTTGAACCGTACTCTCAAACTAAACATAAAAAAATTAAGAAGTTCACATATTAAAATCAACCACATAACTTTTGGTTTGGGAAAATCCATCTGCTTCCTTCATGCCAACACCCCAAGAAAACATCGTGATTAGCCAAACGAGAAGAATCAGTAGTTGGGTGTTATAACCCTTTACAATGGATATCTGACCATTTGAACAGTGCATTAACGCATGGACACAGACAGTATCACAATACTCTGGTACGTTATTTATCCTCTACAAAAAATGACAAATATTACTCGTCTATTGAGTAGCGTAATAGTAATGGAGTTGTGAAAGTCTTAAGTTTTTGCCTTCATGACAGTATTACATTGCCCCTAGTGGCCAAGTTGCGAACAGCAAAAAGAGTTGCAATGAATCATTCCATGATGCGCAAACTGTTTAATTATGTACATTCTTTTTAGTTATGTTATGACAGTATGTTTCCAAAAGTACATTATTATTGAGTGCTGTTTTCCTTATTTAAAAAAATGCATTACAAAATGTGTGTTTGAGGGGGCTGGAACAGATTAATGGCATTCCAGTTCATTTTAATGGAGAAAGATAATTTGCGATACAAATGCTTTGAGTTATGAGTGTGGTCATCGAACAAATTACATTTGTACCTCAAGGTACCTCTTTACAATATAAAATGCAACATTTTTCGATGTTACCCTTCTTGGCCCATTTTTTAAAATTCCTTTTGTGGACAACACAGCATCCTTCTGTCAAACTGCTCAATAACTTTGTCATTGTCCAGCCCGAGCAATGACTTTTGTTTGATCAATGGATTGTTTGTTTGCTTTTTTAGCAGCTGCATGCAAGAGCAATTTCTCTTTACACCTCACCATAAACTTCAGCTTCACAGTTGCCGTGTGTTGTGCTAAAGACATCCAAGATGCATGGCGGTATAACTCATATCACAGATGATCACACAGTTGTTATTTTCCCCCCCCCTAAAGGGGTGGGAGAGGTGCCAATTTGAAGTGTGGTGTTGAGTCAAGCAGACAACACACTTGGTTGGTTAATTGGGGCATGTTGTCTCGAGAGGTTTGAGGAAATAAAATGTGTTACTAAAACAAACAAAACAAGGTTGATACCTGGACTAATTTCCAGCAGCATGAGTGTTAAATAAGCACAAAAATCAAATGACAGCAACTGTCTGCCATACAGGATATTTTGAGGAGTTATTCGGCTATTTCACTTTCTCCAACATTCCAAAACATGCATGTTAGGTTCATTTAATACTCTAAATTTTCCAGAGTGTGTGTGATTGCTTGTCTTTTGAGTGTTCACCCTGCAATTGACTGGCAACCAGTTCAGGGTGTGCCCCACATCTCGACTGGGAGAGGCTTAGGACACAAGTGTGTAATGGGTTGTTCTTTGACACTGGTGGAAATGAAGAGCTTCTATGTTGGAGCCACAGAAGCGTTTTCCAAGTATCGTATCCTTAAAAAAAATACATCGAAATAAAATAAAAGAAGGAAAACAACCGAAATCGAGTGAGATAGGCTGACAGTGAACAAGTTAAGCAGTTCAGAAAATGGGTGGAAAACACACTTTGCACTCCTCTTCCGAATGTCATTTACCCACTAGGACGTGAATCATAGAGATTTTATGTTGTGTTCTCTTTGCTATTTACATGGGGTTGGGGGCAGGGGGGACACAGCCAGTTTCCAATAGGTGCCAAACAGGAGCAGGCAGCTCGAGCAAAATGTGGAACCAGGAAGTTGCCGCAAATGGTAAGTATGTGTATGGAGTTGCTTCCAGCTGTTGAACCAAGGTAGGAATAGAATGTAGCATGAGCCAAAGTTCAAGCAAAATCCCTGACCACCTGATTGATAGGCGATCATTCATCATTTATTTTTTTTTTTTTCAGAGGAGATGTTGTAAACATGTAAATATTGCATCTTATATTTATGTTTATCAGCATTTGGATTCATTTTTTTTTTTACCAATGCAATTCAATGGGCGTCAATGATGTGGATTTTTGCTATGATGGGGGTTGTTTGAAAAGATATGTTGCTCCATCTTCCAATCGAGTCAGTGATTGAGTATTGTTTTCTTCAAAATCGCTGCTCGACCCCAAAAATCCTTATCGTGTAAAGCCTACTAATTACTGGACTTCCAGTCTCAGGAACATAAATCCCCTTGCAGTATTGGTCCAACACACACAAACTTGTTGGGCCATGAAGAAAATGAAGCAGGGTTATCCCAGCTGAGAGGAACTCAAAACAGCTTTTATCAAAGCTAGCAGAGGTTTTAATCTTTTTGACGCTGACGCTGAACAGCAAGTGCAAGGACACTCATGCCAGTAGCTGTCAGTGTCAACTGAGGTGGCTGCAATAGACCTGAAGTGGAAAGTGGCATTCATGACACTTTTCATCACAAAGATGTGAGTATTAAAGAAGTCAAAATAATAAACAGTGTTCTTATTAATTACAGTAAAAGGGTTGAGATTTATTCGCTATATACTAATCACTAAGAGAGGTTGAAGGACTTTAACTAGGTCAGGAAATACATAGTAGTATTTTTTCAAATTCACACATTTTAGTTGCTGATAAACATAAATATTCAAAGTCTTTGCAATACACAGAGCGGAGGGCCCGTGACTGGGTTTGCCAGATAATAAATCAGTGATTGACAGTTTTCTTGAAGACAAGAGAATCTAAAATGGAACAATGATCTTCTCTGGAGAGACATTGTCATTCGTTTCATCTGTGTTTTAATTCCATTTTTAAATGTGTCCTGTCAATGGTCTGCTCTTTATGCTGATTTGCCCTATCGTGCTGTATGCACTGTTTGAATATTTACTTCAGTAATTCTTTCGCGCACTACTAGTGATACTAATACCACACTGAGAACGTATTAAATAAGCACTGATTTTACCATTGGAGTCAAAAATTGTGCATCTTTGTAAAGGCAGTGTGTAATACAGCGTTTGAACGGAATCCTTGGGCAAGTGTGCGTTATTTAGCGTCGAGTTAGGCCAATTTCCAGGAACAATACGATGGCGACCTCTAGTGGCTATTAAGAAACATTACAGCTGAATTGTTTTTATCCCAACTCTGACTGCTTGCATTCATTAAAAATTCTATCCTACATTTCCCATAATGTGTGAATGAAACCTGAAAAATATACAGTTTCCTTGGAGTCCACACATTTTCTATCAGGTTTGTCGGCAGCCAACAGAGGACACATATAGACAAGGAAAGAATTTATGCTTTCACATCTCAGAGCAATTTGGAGTCTTCATAAAAACCTAAATATTGGACAACTCATCTACTATTGTGTGTCTGTGGATCGGCGGGTAGGTACATTTACAAGTCTGCCAGAAGGCAGTGTTGCTGAAAGCAACATGGAGACAGCAACGAGCCTTTTATTGAATATTTTTATTCTGTGTTTATTTATCACACACACGTCGGGAAACAAAATACGACCGAAAATGCGTTCCCTTACTTCCAGCTTGTTTAGCATTTACACCTGCTGCTGCATCTTCTTCGACGCTGCAGCAGCAGACAAAGATATGTTTATCACATCTGATGAAATGTCCGTGCGATGCCTAAACTTGGTGCCAGCAAAGCTGGGAAAAATGTTTTGTTGCTCTAGTTTTGTCGACTGGTCTGACAAAACTAAAAAAAAAATCAAGTAACAACCCGTGTCTTCAAAAACTCGTAAGGCAAAGCACTCGTATTTCATGGCACCAATGTTTGAGTAGTTTGAGTTATGCGCGTGCTAACAGACCGAAAAGTGAACGCATCACCAAAAATATATCAATGATAAGTCATTTCTCTCTGAATCTTTTCTTTGTTACTTCAGAGTTTAACTGCCTTGCCGGCCGCTGTTCTCTCTGGATGGTTGCCATGGGGACACATATCATGCATAACTGCAACTGATTGACTTCTTTCCTGACCAATCAGTGTCTGTCATGGCAGCATGAGCCCACCCGTTACCATTGTCGTGACTCACACACCCACTTTTCAGTGGTTTTAGCGAGATCCGTCAAAAGCGTCCCCGCCCGGTTGTCAGGAGTGAGCAGGACGCTGCACGCGAGAATTCAAAGCTTTATTTACCGCCCCCCCCACCCCCAACTCCCCAAAAAATATTCAGTTTACAGATAGGCGTGCGCTCCCGGCCACATGCAGGCAGTGCGAACGAGCACAGCTAAGGCGTGGAGTTTGGGATTTTGAGGAGGAGGGGGCGAACGGAAAGAGAGGAACGGGAAAGGAAAGGGTCGCGCATATACACGTCACAGCTAAGGGGAAACAGTAAAGAAACGACATTGGGCGATGTTGAGTTTCCACCGTAATTTAGTTAGTCTTGTTCCCGCGTGTGTCTCTGAGCGCCAAGCAGTCCACGGTGCCACTTCCTCTCCGGAGCCGTCGGCGAGCGGTCTCCGCCAGGCGCCAGCCTCGCTTGCACGGGGCTGTTACCCAAACGCCCCATTTCACCTTTGAGCCGCACTTAAAGGGCATCAACTGGCGCTGACAACACAGAACTGAGAGCTCATCAGGAGAGAGGACACGCTTTTAATCGAATAGAACCGGAGAAGTGGTGTCATTGTCCAACGAGCCCGCTGTGCTGCGCCTGTGCCCGCACTCGAAGGCAAGGAGCACCGCCGCTTGCCGTAGCATAGCACGCCTGACGCTCGCCGTTGGGGGTGGGAGGTTGTGTTAGCCTCAAATTGTCTTTTATTCCACAAACTGCTCGGTTTACTGATGGAAGCCTTTACTCGATAGTCCGTCTCCCTTCCTCTAACCTTGGGTTAGAGGAAATCTCCGGATTTGACACTCGGGCTCTGTCCTCGCCAAGTGGGGTGCTGGCTGGATCACCACCTCTCTCCCTCCCCGACGCTTGCCGCGCCTCACCTGTCTGCGGCTCTGGCAACGAGACCCCCCGCCCCCAGCCGCCACCGAGCCCCAACATGGCAGGCAACCTAAAGAAAGGCGGGGGGCTCATCGGAATGATGAAGGATGCTTTCCAGCCACACCACCACCACCACCTTCATTCGCACCACCAGCCCGGGGCCGTGGACAAAAAGACAGTGGAAAAGTGCTGGAAACTGATGGATAAGGTTGGTCAAGACCGACTTTCACGAAGAGCAGATGCTAAGCTAACTGCAGCTCACTGAACGATAAGAGCTAATCTTCGTGTGCTGCTAACGATGCTAACGTGAAGCTAATCAGCTGGATGGCGACATGGCTAGCTCGTGCTAGCGAATTTGCTCATTTGTTTTTAAATGACGTTCCAAGGCTTCGCCGTCTCGTTATTATTCGCTCGTTTAGAAGACGACACTTCGAATGACATCTTACCGAACAACGTCAGCATCATTTGTTAGATTGTATTTTAAATGATTGTTTATGCATAGGTTTTTACCAACACTGCATATTTCAAACCATCCACAGTCCTGTCGACTCCTTTGTTTTTCCTGCAACATTTACAAACCATTATTTTCAATTGAAATTAATAGAAAGCCTGGGACTTGATTTTGAATTTACTTTTTGAGATAATGTAGAAAATACAGCGCGCAGGTTTGAGGAGCTTTCTCTGGAATCTTTTTATCAAAGCACAAAACGAAAAATGTTCATGGGCCAACTTTATAATGTCACGGGGAGACTTATTTGTGAGCGGTGGGGGTTTGTGGGGAATTCATGCATTTTGACCTCTAGTTTCCTGTGAGCTTCACATTGCAAATATTAGCGTGAATAGGAAGACAAGACACCCTTTTGTGTCTCTTCCTCTTCGAGTGAACCATTGCAGTGAGACGTCCTTTGTTGAGACAAGAGGAACATCATTATCATTTGCTTTATGGTCATTCGTTTTGGTTACCCGAACTTTTTAAGAATTTAAGATAATGCTACAGGCAACTTAGTTTTCAAATAACTTCATAGCCCAAACAAAGCAAAAAACTGAGACTTGCAGAGTAACATTAATATTTGTCAACTGTGGGCTTGTGAAGCCCACTCTTGTGATTAAAGGTTATATAAATACATTTTACTTGATTTGTATTTCCTTCAAATCACGACAGCAGTAAAACAGCAGTGGTCCCTCAATTGAAAGTGATCGCTGAACCTTTTGTCAATTTATTTTTTGCTTTGGCTTGCTTGCCTGCAGAATTTTGAGAAGTGACCGCTGGATTGATTGATAGTGAATAATTTTCCTAAAAAAGAGGGCAATTGCATGCTTTAATCTGTTTACTGCCACACCCGATTTTACTGAGAAACTGAAGAAAACAGAGAATTGCACATTATATATTATGAACCACATTTAGTTTAACCTCTTTTCAACATACCCCATTTATGTTTTCACCGTTATAAGGTTCACATTTCAAAGTCTCAATTTCACATAGTTCATTTTCCATTTGCCGAATTTGGTTACAACAAACACCTTAATAACGTAAACTTCATTATAACGACCAGATTTTTCCCACAAAGTAGTGAAAATGGCTTCGTTACAACGAACCGTGGGAAGCTAACTGCCACCGCAAACTTGCTTATGAACAAAATGTACAGCGTGTGCTTCCCCTCCGTCACTGATCGATTCGTACGTTGTTGTACTTCCGAAGGCACATGGTGTGAAAACATGTCTGGTAAACGGAAGCAAATCTCACTCTCTGTGAGGGCTGAAACTGTCTCTCACTTTCGAAAGGGAGTCTCCCAGATGAAGCTGAGCAGAGACTATGAATTGGCAAAGTAAACGATTTCGACAATCACGCGTAATGGCAACAAAATCATGGCAGACTTCGAGGACAACAAATTGAAAGATGATGGTCAACGGATTTGGGGCGCAAGGTTGATTGGTTTGTTGCTTTTGTAAACTGAGGACATTTGGGTCTCAGATCAAAAGATGAAAAGGAAACTAAACTTCAGAAGTCCAGCTTTTTATTTCATGGTGTTTATGCCTTCATGTGTTAAACAACTCACACCTTTTGTTTGAAGCCTCCCGACTTTTCAAGTGAGCAAAAGTATTGCAACAGACATTATTAATTAAGTGTATTTATATATATATATATATATATATATATACATATATATATATATAGAGAGAGAGAGAGAGAGAGAGAGAGATATTTTTAGATATATACTCTATATTTAATATTTGGTGGCATAACCCTTATTTGCATGGACTGCATCAAGCCTGCGACCCATTGACTGTTGCATTCTTCATTAGAAATTCTTTTCCAGGCCTTAACTGCATCCTGCTTCATTTCTTGTTTGTTTCTGGTGTGTCGTACTTCAATGTGCTCTTCAATGCATGCTCTATTGGGTTATGGTCTGATGATTGACTTGGCCAGTCTAAGACCTTCCACTTTTTCCTTCCACTTCTCCCGATGAAGTCCGTTGTTGTGTTGGCAGTGTGTTTTGGGTCATTGTCTTGTTGCATGATGGAGCTTCTCCTAATTAGTTGGGATGCATTTTCCTGTAACTTGCCAGATAAAATAGTTTTGTAGACTTCAGAATTCATTCTGCTGCCACTATCCTGAGTTATATCATCATTAAAGACGAGTGAGCCCATTCTCGAAGCAGCCATGCAGGCCCAAGCCATGACATCACCTCCACCACACTCACAGATGAGCTTGTGTGTTTTAGATCATAAGCGGATCCTTTATTTCTCCACATTTTGGACTTCCCGTCGTTTTGGTAGAGGTTAATCTTGGTCTCATCAGTCCATAAAATTTGGATCCAAAACCTTTGTGGCTCATCTCTGTGTTTCTTTTCAAAATCCAATCCGGCCTTTAGATTTATTTTTTATTTTTTTGCTGATGAGTGGCTTGCATCTTGTGGTAGAGAATGAATATTTCTTATCCCAAAGTCTTATTCGAACAGTGGATTGTGATAACTTCACCCCTGCCCCGTGGCTGTTCAGACTTGATGTCACTTAGTGTTGTCTTTTGGTGTTCCTTCACAGCTGTCACATTTCCACCATCAACTGCTGTTGTTGCCCTCGGCCGACCAGTTCTATATCTGTTACTTAGTACACCAGCAGTTCCTCTCTTTTTCAGGACATTCCAAGTTGTTGTATTATGCCATGCCCAAATTTTGCGCGGTAGCTCTGATGAATTTTTCCCTCTTCTCTCAGCTTCAAAATGGTTTGCTTTTCTCTCATAGATGGCTCTCTGGTCTGTGGACTGCACTGTATGACACTTTCCACTTTCCCTGGTGGGCAAGGCATGCACACGAGAAGGAGCTACACGATAAGTTTTGGGTCAACCACCCCGTGGTGTAGTTTGCCATTACAAGTTCACTTAATGCCCCTTTTCCACTGCATGGTACCTACTCAGCTCGTCAAGGATTCCCACGTTTATTGGTGCTTTTCCAGTAGTAAAACTAGGTACCTGCTGAATGCAAACGTATAGACCAACTTGTAACTTCCAACGTGATTAGTCAATTGTACAGGGTTGCTTCTTTTAGTAGAAATTGAGGGTTTATTGATCGGGTTGATCAGGGCTGTGTAAACTGTTCTGTCTGAAGAACACCACTTTTCACTTTGCTAAACAGATGGTATGTTTTCCAGGAACAGTCTGAATGTTGCAGGAACACGGACGCATGTTCTTGCTTGTTTACAGCTGAGGCACAGAAAAGTGCGGTGTGGTCCTCATGTCTTCCTCAGCTTGAATTAGCAGTCTTTAATTTGACCCAACCCTAGCCCTTCACTGTTCTTCAGAAATATGGTTAAGAATGGCCAATGTGGAGAGCTCTGAAGATAGTTGTGCCAAGATAGTTGTTCGTCATTGAGTTGTTATTAATAGTACCTTGTGTGTACTTATACACAATATAAGAGCAGTCGTCTCCAACAGTTTTTTTTTCCATTTTTTGATGCAGGGGTGTGGGGGGGGGGCAGTGCAAACATTTTAAAGCTCAGCAATTAATATGAGGTACAGTTTCCTAGGTGACTCCTTACTCCATGACAAGTACCTTATCCAGCTGTAATGACAAAAAAAAAAAAGTTGTCTATGGAAAAAATAGCCATATGATAGATCATATTTTAATATAATCAATTACAAACATGTCAGCAGTGGTGAAAAAAATAAAAATAGGCACGAGGAGTCATTCAATCGTCCTTTCTCCAACATCTTATGAAATCTTTGAAAGCACGAACTCCTGAGCAGGGACTTTTTGTGGAGGGATCAGAATTTCCGATAAAATTGCACATTTGCCCTCACATGCTTTTCGGGAAAGTTCCTTCGACTGAAATGTGACTCTTGTCAATCATAATTGACACCATTGAGGTCCATCGTGACCTCATTCAAGTTGTTGTGTGGAATGGTGCTCTCTGAGAACAAACTAACCACACTAATATTGAACCCTCTTTTTATGGACGACTTGGCTCCAAAATGCATGTCCCCTGATTTTTGAAAAGCAATGATCAAGATGTGCACCCAATCAGTTTCTTGTGATCAGATGATGCAGAACATTTTTGAGTCATCCGTAATAAAGTAAGCCTTGTCCTCATTAGAAATGTGTTGCATGTATTCCCTTTTGTCATGGAGACTTGATAACTAATGGTGAGTTAAAATATGAATGTTATAGTCCTGCTTACTAAGAAAACTAAATTGCCACAACGAACATTTTTCAACATTGAAAACAAACCCTGGGACAGTTTGCCAAAATGGGGAACAGAGAAGCTTTCTACTACCAAATTTAAGTAAGTACAGTAATCAGGGTATTATTGTTACGATGCATCTGTGGAAGAAGTACAGTAATCAGGGTATTATTGTTACGATGCATGCATGGTATTGCAGTGTTTACTACAAACCTTTGTTCATCAAAATAGTGCCACGTCGAACTCGTAATTATTCTGCATTATGTCTTGGGTTAGACGTGCTATCAAGCACATACTGCCTGTTAGATTTCTTTCGAAGTGAGTGAGTCGCGCCTGAATCACTTCCTCTGCTGATTGCTGCCAATTGGTGAAATCCATTCACAGCTCCATTGCTTCATGGCATAGTGACAACTAGGGATTTAAATTTGACAACATTTTTCTAATGGCCATATTATGCCTGTTCTGATGCCAGTGTTGTATTGACTAGAATAACGCTGCCCGGAAGATATTGCCATAGCCAATGTCATCATGTATTTGGTGTGTCAAAAAAAGCTATAGGATTGGTGTCACAGAAGATCCATTTCAAATCCAAAGCAGCCAAGATTTCCCCCTTCCAACACACTTTCATAGCCTTCTGTGCCCCACCTTCATACACTCCTGGAAGAATGTTTTTGCACTTCTGCGCAGCGCCGTCGTTATGGCTATTGTAAATATCATCATCTATTTCTGCCAAGAGGGTCCTCTCGATGACCGCTTTGATCTTGGAAAAGAGGTAAAAAAATAACTAAAAATTCCCACTGAGCCAGGTCGGGTGAGCAGGGACTACGGCAATGTTCTTTTTGACTCGGATTTGCCAGATGCTCAATAAATTGTGATCAGGCTAGTTGATCAGGCTAGTTTAGGTTTGAAATATATATATATATATATATATATACTTTTGTGGCTCACATTAAGGCAGGGTACCATTCTCATTTCTGACTACTTGCACGCATATGTCGTGCCACCCACACACTCAAACACTTTCTGTGAATATTTGAAATGCATTTTGTTGTTGCAGAATGTTTTCTTGAAACATATCATCCGAAAATACTCATAAAATAAAAATGAAGCAACTCTGTTTAATAATAATTTACGGTTGGGCAGTTAATCATATTTTGATTGTGATATCAATTTTGGCTTCCAGTTCACGGTGTAAGTCTGCTGGGATAGACTTCAGAAACTGGCAGAAAATTTCGAGGCTGAATGCTGGCCACAGTTATGTAGAGATTGCCACCTGCAAGTTTTATATTTGGATAAACCGTGATCCAGCACTCAATTTTGCATTTTTAATTACTTTAAGACACAGTATCCACATAGTCTACAGAATTCTTCAAACTATTTGGTAACTTTATCATGCCTCTCTCTGTAGTGATGCCACAAGTGCATAAATGGTTAATTAAAATAGCTTTTACAATCAAAAATGAACCAAGTTCATTCACATTGGAGTTTCATGTTTACAATGAATTATTTTGTTTGCTTTTTGAGCCATGTCCTGGTCCTAATGTCAGGGTGGTGCTAAATGTGTCACACTTCCTCTATATCAGACCTTGATGTGATTGTTTTTTGATGGTCAGCAGTTTGTCCTCACACAACTACGATGGCTTGATGAAATAACCTACAGTAGTTGCATCATAGCAATCTGTCCATCTGCAGTTTGAGGAAAAAAATCTTCCATTCTGTCTACTTTGTAGCCCTTTTTTTTTCATTTTGGATGGTCAACAGTGACTCACATTGCAGAAGTAAAGTGGGATCGGCGAAACAAAAGGTTTATTAGTTAGGATGACCCAAGTATCTGCAGTTCAGTGATCATATTTGACCACGATGTTTAGTTGATTGACTATGGACGACACACAAACCACCAGATGAAACATTATCTCTCGGTTTACCAATTACTGGGTTGTTTTGTGTAATGTCAATGATTGTTTGTTAGGTTCCAGAAGTGAATGATTAAATTTTGAAACCCTGCTTGGTAATCCAAACAGTTAAGGTTTATGTATTGTATACTCTAACAAGGCTGCATGCAACTCCTGATAAATGGCAACAATTGGATTCAGTGAGCTTGTTAATTGTGCCATGCATGAAAGCAGGTTTTCTATTGGCCTCTTCCGGAGACTTATTGTTTGGTCATGAGAGGAAGCACTGTGCAACAGTGATAAATTGCGTTGCAGCTATAAGGGACGCACTCATTGATATTCACCATGCTAGAATAGTCGTTATTATATGCGCTCCAAGCTGATATGGGCTGTCGTAGTCTGTTAGAATGTTCCATTCTCAATGTCCTCTGTTGTGACACACACAGAATACTCTGCACATACACGTGTTCTTGGTATGAAAACAGCCTATGTTATATAACTTTCTCGAACGGATATAAATAAAGCCTTGAAGCAAAATGCAGCATGAAATTTCTCTGATTGCTTGATTATTATTTTCTTCTGTTCCTCTGTTCTTTTATCTTAACACATCTTTCTGCCACATTCTCTCCACTTTTGCAGGTGGTGCGCTTGTGCCAAAACCCCAAATTGGCCCTGAAGAACAGCCCCCCTTACATCCTGGACCTGTTACCAGATACATACCAGCACCTGCGCACGGTTTTGTCACGCTACGAGGGCAAAATGGAAACCCTGGGGGAAAATGAGTATTTTCGAGTCTTCATGGAGAACTTGACCAAGAAGACCAAGCAAACCATCAGTTTGTTCAAGGAGGGCAAGGAGCGCATGTACGAGGAGAACTCGCAACCCAGGTGAGGGTATGCTGTCAAGTCCCTTTGATTTCCGACTTTTCCGAATCTGAGGTGTGAAGCCTTTATGGCACAACAGTTGGAATGAATAATTGTGACGAGGCTGGCACACAGAGAGGGAGTTACTTGTAGCCCTCAGGGTGCTTTCAGGCTGCAACAAAGTGAGTTGAGTGTTGTTGTGGTTGGAGGAAGTCAGCATCTGTGGTCAGGCTCTGAACTGTCTGTCATTAACAGATGCTGACACTTTTTGTGCCTCCCAGTCTCTACCATCTACTGTGCACAACTGTCACATGCTCCGCTTAGTGTAAAGCTTGGTGCTTTTGGCGTGCTGTTTGTGCAATGATGTGTCTAAGTGCAATTAGCACGGAATGAGCCCAATTCTCACAAAAGGCCACTAAAAGACTCTGAAGAGTTAGAATCAGCTCAAAGTCGCTGCAGTATCAATTAGGAATTTCCCCGAGGTGGAGACCATTCACTCAAGTCCCTCATTGTCTGTCTTGCCTTGATGCCTAGTTTCCTTTTGTTCTGTTGTGCGCTTTTGTCGCTGCTGCTGCTTCTGCTCAGGGTAAGATGACGAATTGTGGCGATTCTATTTTATTTATTTATTTTAAAGCTTTGCTCTGCCAAAGCAAATTTTGAATTGGTTTGCTATTATCGCTGCCTTTAGGAGCTGGTGTGTTGATCAGAGGCACAATGAAATCAAGCAGGTGGGATTGGTTGACCAACCAGCATAATTCAGTTTGCTGCTGAGTTTTTACCGTAATATTATGAGACGTCAATGTAAATCCAATAAAAACATGTTTTTTTTAGAGCCTTCAAAGTATCTTCAGAAGCTGTCAAAAGTCCTCCCCTTCAAAGTACAGTATGTGCTTTGTACTTCTGCAAAGGTTTGGCCATGATGATGACCAGTTTTCCCCTTAAAAAGAAAGTGCTCCCTGTGTGTGTGTGTGTGTGGGGGGGGGGGGGTCGAGAATCAAGATGATGAATACTGAAATGAGTCTTCCCTTTTTAATACAGGGGAACTAAATTAGCAAATATGAAACTGATTATGTAGATATTGTGAGCTTTGTGTAAACGTGTCATTTTACTCTGCCACCCATTGGTACAAGCTGGGAACAAGACAAACAAGCGGGTATCTGTTAATCTTAGCAAGTCAGTATTACATAGCAAGTCAGTATTACATGATGTTGCACAAATATACACTTGAAATTTACAGTGAAGCTCTTTAAACTGTTGATCGGGATAACTTTTGTTTTGGTTTGGTTGTAGAGTCGTCATCGCCGTGTCAGTAAAATAGCCTCGGGATAGTACAGTGTAGGTTGGCTCCAATGTACATAACAGTGATCGAAATCCCTCATTTTCCACGGACGGAATAAGGACATAAATCCTTGACAATAAATGCCCAGATGGCCTTCGTAATTCGCTTCGCCTTTTCCGATGAGGCTGGCAGCTTTCGAATTGCTTCCTCGATCGTTCTCTGGTCGGTAACGCCACGGGTAGCAGCAACAGCAACAGCCAGCTGTCTCCCAGACTGTTCCATAGGGTGGAATCGACTTACATTTTTGTGTTGCCAAAATATTTTATTTTAGTGCGACACAGCTTACATATGACGTGGCTCTTTTGCAGTTCTCTTCCACTGTCGACGTTGTAGAAGCCAAAGTGTTTCCATATACCTGCTTCGATATTAAAAAGAGCTTTTGGGATCTCACAGCGAGGTGGGTGACGGTCATCCATGTTTGTTCTTCTCTGCATGTGTTGGCTTGTGCACTTCCCAAAGTATCCCGGAAATGATGTTTAGTGCACTTCTTAGTTCCGCATTATTTAGAACGTTCTGTATTACTTTAACATTTAACTAATCGAAATGTGGACGTTAGTGAATCGATTCCGATTCAGCCACGTCTGAATTGCGACGCATCTGAGAATCGGAAATTTCCCCCACCCCGATGTAGCACAGTGGTAAACTTGACTCTGTCCCAGCTTTTCTGGAGTGCGTTGCATCCATAAAATGTTGAGTTAATGATTATTTCTCAGAAACAAAGTTTATAGAACCCCCACGTCATCTCCATTCGATCAGATTCAAAACGTCCAAATGTCACAAAGTAACTCTTGAACCATTTTAAGACTGTTCCCTGTTCTGTTTAATCCCACCCAAGTTTCCAACCTGTTCAACGGTAAATGCTGCACTGAGATCCAAAAAGACGAGCACCAACACTTTCTCTGCATCAGTGTTCAATCTTCTGTAATTTAGTACTTTATTAAGAGCTGTTTCAGTACTATGATGAGGTCGGAATCCTGATTATATTAAAAGTCAGTTTTAGTTAAAGAATTTGTTTGGTTGATTAAAAAACACTTTCTCGACAATCTTGATTCAGAAGATAAGGTTTTAGATGGGTCTATAATTTGCTAACAAGGAGACATCAATCATCTCTGTCTTAGAAGGGGCTTGACGGCAGCTACTTTCAGGGGTTTAGGAAATTTGACCGACTGAGGTGCGGAGTTGATTATTTATCGTAACTCGGTTTGAAAAGATTTCATGATTGTTTTGAAACGGTCTGATGGTATTGAGTCAAGACAGCTAGCTAGTTGATGGCTTCACCTGCTGAACCAAATTTGAGAACGTTACCTGTGGTTTACGATTGTTCATCTTTTGAGTTTTGGTTTTCTAAAATGTGTTTAACAGCAGTACAAATGGATGTGTGACCTGGCTATTTCCTGTTTAATTTGTTGCACTCAGAACTGTTAAGTGCTAAAATTGGAGGGAGCAGCATAGAGTCTATCCGGCATGGTAGTTCGGCCTTGTCAAAATTTCGCACATTTTTTAAATTTCACCATATGAAAATGTTTGTACATAAACAGGACTGCAGTATCTCTACCTGCATCCTTTTTAGAAGAATTGTTGGGTAAAAAATGTGCCACAATGTTGTTTCACACCTCACCGCAAGTACATTTTTCATTTGAATCAAACTGAGTGTGTTGTTGGGACCTATCTATCTTCAGAGACACAGCTCAAGAATTTAAAAAAGCCTGTCAGTCTGCCTGTGCTTCCATAACTGTGACTCTTCTCACACTGCTTCTTCCTGCAAGTCCACCAGAAGGATATCAAAGGCTGTTTTTAGCGCATGACCACAAATTGAAAACAGTTCACACTTTAAAGATGGAGGTTTCATCACCTCGTTAATATGTTTCGAGATTCACATACACAACTCGCAGTATATCATGATTTTTATGGCACTGAGTTGTTCATCCTACTCTGAGGCTGCTAACACACACTGGCTTCTCTACCCTGCGGTGAACATTCAGCTCCTCTTACTCAAACTCAGCCAAATGAGCTAAAAATGTGCAAACGCTGTGTATCACTAATTATTGAGAGGATTATGCACAGCAGCAAACATTTTCAAAACTGGTCTCTAATGAGGGTTTTTCCACTTGCGGGTTAAGACAAATGCAAGTTACAATATTAAGTAGAAGTTAGTCAGGAAATTATAGCAGGCGGTTTCGTTTCGGTGCTTATTTGTGGAGTTGTGTGGTTGGATCAATACTGAAGTGCACGATGTTGAGTGCTATTTCCTGATGGAGATCTGTCACGAAGCCAGTTCTGTTGATTTGAATTTCTAAAGTGATGACTGCAGGATAATTGGGATGCATTTGAAACATGTGCTCCACCTGTGTTTCACTGGCATGTTCAGACATTATTTCAGATGATATATGAATTGGATTTATGAAAGAATAATCCAACAGGTAACCCTATGATTTTACAGTAAAGCAGCCTTAAACTACAGTCACATTATTGTCTGCTGCTGTTTTGGCTATGACGTAGAGACTCAACATTTCCTGAACACTTAATTTGAATACATGTTCTCGGTTGTCAGTGTTTCTGTAGAAGTTCAGAAACCCTATGACAGCCAATATCACATGAGACCAGATTTCAAATGTTTCAGGCTCTGAAATGTTTTTTATTTTTTAGGTGACATATCCACGCCATGTTCAGTTAAAAATGATCTTAAATAAATGGCCCCTAAAACTTTACCCTGTTAATGTGTTGGTGATGTTAACTGTGGGTAGGCCCTTATTACCTATGGCTGTCAATCTTTTATCTAATGATCCAGGGAAGAATAAATAGAAATGTCCAATTCCATACAAATGTAATTCATTGGTGACTGCTGTCCAAATGAATAACAAACAGAGCTTTCGTTAAGCTGCTGTACAAATCCTAATTTGTCATCGCTTTAGCGATCTTGATTGAAAATGTCTTGTAAACAACACTAGGTAGACCTCGTCCAAGCCTTTGACATCATGTAGCCAATATGAATTTCCCTCCTAGATTTGAGGAGCAAAGATATAATACAGCTACAAGCTGACATTTGTGCTACTTCCAGAAATCCAGACAGACGTTCATTCTATAAGGGTTGACCTTTGCTGCTGTGCTGCGCTGTATTCGCGCAGTAGGGTTCTGGCTGATGAGCTGAACTACTTTATCACAGCCAACAGGAAACAGGAAGGGAGCAGCCAGCTGCAGAGGTCAGAGGTCAGATAGCTTGGTGGCGGGGGTTGACAACAACCTAGTGTAAGAAGAAAAAAAAAAAAGCCTTTGCTGTGGTTGCCGCCAGGGAGGGATGAAACATGGCGATCAAATGTGGCTCTTTTGTGTGACGGCATTGTTCATGTTGGCACAGCTTCTTAGATAACGGCAACAGTTGTAGGGGGTAGTACAAACACTGACTACAGAGCTGCTATTGTAGGATGGAGATGCCTGGGAGATGCTTTTTAGTTGTTTTTTTTTTTTCGTTTGTTTGTTTTAAATAATCGTGACACTCAAATAATGCACTACTTGTTAGCACTGCCATGCTTCGTAGCAGAGGTGTTAAATCGAGGTACAGAAAAAACCTGCCACGACTTGGCTTTAGTCATAAGTGCTTCGACTCCATTTTTTATTTTTATTTTTTGTTTCAATGTTGGCCCTTAAAAATATGTCTTCACGTGAAAAGGACTAGAGGCATGAATGACATGACTTTTTTAAAATTAATTGTTTTTATTATTATATTTGGGGGGGGCATAGAGATTCACACCTCTCATAAGCTGTTATGAACCTCTACACTTTGCCACTCCCCTAAACGATTGTTAACTGAAGAACTGTAACTTTTAAAATGCAAAATGAAGAATAAATTCCGAGCTTCAGGCTGCGTTCATAAATTAATGAGAGCAGAGATCACACACAAACGCGCACACACACATATACATAACCAATCTAATCATGGCAGCAGTTTTCAGTTAGCCCAATCACCTGGGAAATGTTCCAAGCCGGTGTTTGATGAGCAGTCCTCAGCTTTCTTGTTCTCTTTTCACTCCGGAATGTTTTTCAATCATAAAACTCTTAAGTTAATGATTATTTGCTCAAAACAAGAAGTCATCATCATAAAATACTGTATCTCTCTCTCTCTCTCTCTCTCTCTCTCTCTCTCTCTCTCTCTCTCTCTCTCTCTCTCTCTCGATATGTATATGTGCGTGAGTGTATATATTTGTGTATATATGTGTACGTATAGCACTTTTAGTTGCACTCAATAGCTATAGGCACAAGTGCTTTTCTCTTGAGTGCTGAATTTATTGCTTCTTGACAATGAATCCATCCTGAAAACTACAGCAAAACACATATTCCAAAAAAAAACAATAATTTGCATCAAGAAAATAAAGAAAAACTACAACATAATTTACACACAATTACTGACAGAAACAAAATAATCAGAATCATCTCTATTGGCCAAGTATGTAAAACACACAGACATGACATCGGTATAGAACAGGGGTCGGCAACCCAAAATGTTGAAAGAGCATTGGATCAGAGACAGTTTTGACTTTGAAAAAAACAGGGTGACAGGACAATGGATGGATGTTTATTTTCGAGAGGAGCAATGCAGCACTGTGCAAAACATAGGTGACACTGGACAGGTGGGAGATACTCTGGAAGAACCACAGAGAACATTTGATTCCTGCTCTAATGACGCGTCTGTCCAAAGGCCTACCATAACTTAGTGTGGTAACGTCGGGAAGTATACATTTAAACGATACACTTGGCTACAGTGCTTACCCTATCTCTTTCAAGCCATCATTCTGACAAGCAACACAGTTTAATGATTTGACAACTTACGCTGAACTTCTCGAGCTATCCTCGGGTACTGTTTTCTCTCTTCAGCACTCGTTCATTCATAGTGTACTAAGTGTTGAGTGCCGCAGCTGCAGTGTGGTCGGCCTTTTTTGTACCGTTGCTGTCCTGCATGTCAATTCTTGCTGCCCGGCATCCACACACATTCTTGTTGTGTGCCTGTGTTCATAAATCAGGGGTCCCCCTCAGCATCACTCCTCTAATGCTGCTGTGTGCTACTGGGCAAACACTGCACTCTTTCTTCTGCTCCAACCTCTTCCCTTGCGTCATTTTGTCGCGTTTCTTCACTTCTGTCTTGCTGCGGAATCTTTGATATTTCCATTTTTGCTTTTGGAGGGCCCCTACATGTGTTTATTCTTTGACAATGTCATCATCTACTTCTTCCTTTCATAACTTTGCTGCTGTGTATTGGGAATTTCTCCATTGCGAGACTAATAAAGGTTTTCTTATCTTATCTTTCTTATCTTATCATAGTTACACAGTTTGTATGTGGAGTGCAACAAATTAAAATAATGCTGCTATCAAGCTTGTCACGAGTAACAGGACATTCACTTATCTAATACAGTAATCCCTTGTTTTTCGCAGTGAATGGGACCAGAACCCCCTGCGAAAGTTGAAAAACCGTGAAGTAGGATTTGGATCTCATTTGACTCGTACGGGCTTAAGGTCCACTTAGGTCCACCAGACTCTTCTGCTGGAGGCGCTGACAGAGTAGCTGAGGTTTTTAAATGGGAGAAAAACATGGTGGTGGGTAGCACTATCACATTCATCTTGTCTTATTAGTTGAAATTAGTTTAAGGTTTCTTTTTCAGACAATGGTCGTATTTTAGTGGAGAAAAAAAACTCTTACCGAGCTGACAGTTTTAGCTGTCACTTCAGCCTTAGTCTGAGCTGTCACTGCTTCCTTGTCGGATGTCTAAAAGAAACAGCTGACCGGATCGGAAAACCTTCAAAATAAGACTCCCCGACCCGGTCAAGGCTGCGAACCAACAACCCCTTGCTGCCTTGCAGTAATTTGTCCCTGTTGAAGGTGCCATCTCTGTGGAGGGACAAGCGACAAGAAACAAAGCATCTTTCTGCAGTATGGCTGCCGATATGGCTGTATTTTTTTTTTTTTTTTTTTTAAACACAATTCGATCTTTTTTCTTTTTTTTTTTTTCCTTCGATGGTTGCTTCAGATCTTTCCTGTGTACTGCTGTTGATGTAGCGCCTCTATAGTGGCACAACGCTGCAACTACAGTTAACATATGAGTGACATCAATCGCTCAATCAGCCCAACTGGAGCTTTACGCTGTGTTGAGCGATGTCAGTCGGTCCGGCTGGGGGCGGCACAAAATTAGCTGGAGGCGGCTGCACCGCAATTTTGAATGCAGGAAAACCCCTGGTGATTACTGTATAATCTAACTTTACCTCATGGCTTGTCCACAGTTACCTTTTTGGCATTTTGCACAAAAGGAGTGAAATATAATTAAAAAAAAAAAAAATTGACATGTTGCTCTGATGTCGCCATGTAAAGATTATGATATTAATACACAAAGTACTGTACTACAAAATGATGTCGTTGAAGCACCAATGCCTTGACATTCTTGCAGTGCTTTTTTTTTTAACCTCTTCTTTTCTCTGCTTTCATAGGAGGAACCTCACCAAGCTGTCTTTGATCTTCAGCCACATGCTGGCCGAGCTGAAGGCCATTTTTCCAAACGGCTTGTTTCAGGGTGACAATTTTCGCATCACCAAGGCTGATGCTGCAGAGTTCTGGAGGCGTGCCTTCGGGGACAAGTGAGACTTAATGTTGTTTTACCACTAATTTCATATTGTTCCACAGAATTCTCGACAGCCCGCAACTGTTTCACAATCACACCTAGGGACAATTTAGAGCAGGGGTGCCGAACCTTTTTTGACTGAAGAGCTACTTTTCAAGCCAACCAAACTTCCGCGATCGACCATTACCGCATGTCATGATGAGCAACAGCCATAACGGCCCCTAACATTAACGAAACAGAAAAATAAAGTAGATACAAGAGTTTGTGAAGAGGAAATCACTGCCTAACTTAGTGGGAGACCTGACACGGAGGCATGGTATGCCCTTTTGCAGCATGTTAAACGCATGAACATCACTATCATAGCTCACGTGTACCGTTTTTAAATGCTTCTCCAGGCGCTCCATATTCCCATTCTTTGCCAGTGAATTGCAGATGAAACAAACTGAATGAAAATAATGATAAAAAAAGTATCGCAACACATGTAATTGCAAGCTGGAATTGCAGACCGCTAAACGCAAACATCTGATCTGAAAAACTATCTGTGGTGGGGGTCATGCGCCAGATTCGAACCCCGCACCTCTGCACTGTGAGGCTGACGTGCTAAGCAGTACTATGGCAGATTAGTTGTCGCTTAATTAATCGTCGTAACTGTAGTATAGTATAGCTAAGCTACACATACAGCACATTTGACAATAAAGTTGTATCCATTCCTAAACTTCTAATTAATCTTCCTTTTATTCTTCCTTTTTTTGGTTGTTGTTTGTTTTTTGTTTTTTTGGGTGCCCAAGGACCATCGTGCCTTGGAAGGTGTTCCGTCAGTCTCTTCATGAATTCCATCCAATCAGTTCTGGCCTGGAGGCCATGGCCCTCAAGTCCACCATCGACCTCACATGCAATGACTACATCTCCGTTTTTGAATTCGACATTTTCACCAGGCTTTTCCAGGTAGTTCAACTCTGGTCACCTTGTTGAAGACTTTGAATAATATTCATATTTGTTCTAGGTTGTATTGTACGCACTTTCTCAAGGTCATTCACCTTTCCATTTACACCCTGAAAGCTATCCTTCCCGTTACCAGACAAGTACTGAGCAGATTGGATGACATTTAGACATGAGTTTTGCTTCTACATTTTTTTTTTTGGTCACAAGGGCACTAGTCAAATGCACATTAAAATGTGGCGTCTGTGTATTTTGATCTGTGCAACCATAACACCAGTGCTTTCCCAGGGAAAATGAAGCCACAGGAAATATAATGAGGCTCGTTGTTGAACAGTCTTGTCACTATTGCACTACACATAGATGTTTCTCGTCTTTTTCATTGTTGTGCTCTTGGTACAAGAAATAGAACCACTTTTGAAGTTTGTGCTGTCCTGCACTTTTACGTCAACCCTCACAGATGGCTTGAAAATTAGCTATGTGGCGTTTCACTTCTTGCAAATCCCGCCTGTTTGGTTTTACTTGTTGATTGATGTGTGTCACTGTGACATGGCTACAGCTAACGGCTAACAGTAAGTACTTTGGTCTTACTTCAAAGCTGCTTTTTGTTGTAGGCGGTAGGCACTGTCCACTGATTTGCCACGCTTTCTCTCTCATAAGCCTTGGTCATCCCTTTTACGGAACTGGAACAGCTTGGCAGTCACACACCCAGGTTACATGGCCTTCCTAACTTACGACGAGGTCAAAGCACGATTGCAGAAGTTCATTCACAAACCTGGCAGGTAAGACAAGGCGATCATTTTTGTACCATAATTGTTGTCAATAAGACTGGATATGGTTGCCACCCAATCAGGCACACATAGACAAACAACCGTTGGCGCTCACAATCACACCTCAGGACAATTTAGAGCAGGAGTCGGGAACTCCGGTTCCTCGAGGGCCATATCCTACAAATTTTAGAGCTCTCCCGACTCCAACACACCTGATTCTATTCATCATGATCGTTTCAGGCTTATGCAGAGCTTGCTGCAGTGTGTAGTGCTGGCACTTAGCATGAATAGCTTGATTGTGGACTGAAAGACGACGTCTCCACTTTGGCCAGCCTGAGTGGCGTGACATTTACATTATAGTGTTAGTTGGTCAGTGCGAACACCATGGCACAACAATTTATAGTCCATTCATTAGAATACCTCATAGCACACCACACGGAAGAAACAGTGTATGTATCCCTTGACAAGCTGCTACATACGCCAATTGATGATGTGATGTCATATTACATCATTGCGGCGTCTGTTTGCACTCCAAATGTTCTCATCATTTAAAACAGTGTGAATTTATCCCGCTGCTTCAGCACGTCATCTTTTTGTTTTTTTTGTTTTTTTTCCTTATTGACATCTCTTCAGTTACATCTTCCGACTGAGCTGCACCCGGCTGGGCCAGTGGGCCATCGGCTACGTGACGGCGGATGGAAACATTCTCCAGACCATTCCTCATAATAAACCTCTCTTCCAGGCCCTCATAGATGGCTTCAGGGAAGGATTGTAAGTCCAGAAGTATTCAGTTTGGCATACTTACAGTACAGTGTCATGCAAGTCCTGCGCCGCCTTTAGCTGACTCATGACCTATTTCACAGCAGTCATGATCCTGCATGACACACAAAGTAGCTTGCTGACTAACAAACAGATGAGAAAAAAAAATCACTTCACGAGATTTTTGCACTGTTAACAGTTTGGTTTTGGTGTGTGCTCTGTAACATTTTAGTTATTTAACATTCTAGTTATTTAACACAAAAGACTTTTGCATGGTACTGTTCCTGTACATCCGTCATTTAAAATTCTACATCTTTGGCTAGATTCTCATCTCACTACAGTTCTCCCGCTTTGAAGTAATCCCCCTGGAGTCTCATGCACGTTCCCAGCCTTCTCTGGGAGTTGTTCATGCAGTGCTGGAAGGCTTCTTCCAGCATTCTCCGTAGCACCATTGCTGACGTCTGTCTTCAAAGCAGGTCCCCTCAATGATCTTAAACTCGGGAAGCAAATCACACAGAGCCAGTTCGTGCGAGTAGGTTAGGGATGTCTAAACCCGGTACTCAAGGGCCGCTGTCCTGCCTGTTTTAATATGTCTCCTTACGCCAAAGCAAGGATCGTTATCAGGTTTCTTGAGGGCTTGCTGATGAACTGATGTCTTTGAGTCACGTGTGTTAGCATAGGAAAATATACAAAACACACCCGAAAACGGCCATCAAAGACCGTAGCTGGATATGCCTGGAGTAGAGATTTGCTCCGGCGCTGCGATATTCTTCTCAGCCTGGAACTGTCAGATGCTCGGGGAGTTGAAAGCAGGCACATTGTCATGGTGAAGCAGTCCCGAAATGTCCTGCCATGAGAATGCCCCACAATGTCTTTGTAGGTGTGCAGGTTATTTTTCTGTCCCACATTGAAGTAGTTGTGGTTTGGTTTTCAAAGCTATCCATTGTGACACCAGTCCTGGATGTTTCTGACATACCTCATATTACCAATCACCTTTGTGCCTCTACGCTTCCAGCTATTTATTCCCCGATGGCCGGCCCCAAAATCCAGACTTGACAGGACTTTGTGAGCCTTCGCCTCAAGACCACATTAAAGTTACGCAGGTCAGAGCAGCATGCTTCTTGATATTACAAATTGTAAATGAATGCTTGACTCAAAAAAAAAAAAAAAAAAAAACATGTTTGAAAGTTAAGACACACATTGAATCGGTCATAGTCATTAACCACGGGTCTCTTTTGAACACCAGTCAAAGATAGAGGGAATAAAACACTTGCAGACTAGAACATATAACATTATTGTACCTAAAATACTGACTGGGAGGTGAGTTCAAAGTAAATAGTTTTCTTTGTTCAATGACTTGGCGTCAAATGAAATTTCCCCTTTGTTAGACTGACTCCACTCTAAAGCGTGGTGGGAAAAGCCCCATCAGTCCTTTACAGCAAAGTGATGGTGAGTACTGGCCCCTGAGGGCTCATGACTCCCTTTTCTCTCCTCCTCCAGGAGCAATATGAACTCTACTGTGAGATGGGCTCCACCTTCCAGCTGTGCAAAATCTGTGCTGAGAACGACAAGGACGTGAAGATTGAGCCCTGTGGTCATCTAATGTGCACCTCCTGTCTCACTGCGTGGCAGGTAGTAGAGGAGACTGTTGTGTCTTTGTTGTCTTTTGGGGAGGCGACGCACGCAGGGGTGCACATTCTTTATCCCTGTCCACTATTGCAGGAATCCGAGGGTCAAGGCACAGGCTGTCCATTCTGTCGCTGCGAGATTAAAGGTACCGAGCATATTGTTGTGGATCCATTTGACCCCAAGGACAACAGCGGGAGCTCCTGCAGGGGCCTATTTGGGGCAGAGGGCGCTCCGTCGCCTTGCTATGATGACGATGATGATGACAGACTTGAAGACCCCCACCTAATGATGAGCAAACTTGCTTGTACAAAGGTAGTCTGTGTGTGTGTGTGTGTGTGTGTGTGTGAAGGTACCGAGCATATTGTTGTGGATCCATTTGACCCCAAGGACAACAGCGGGAGCTCCTGCAGGGGCCTATTTGGGGCAGAGGGCGCTCCGTCGCCTTGCTATGATGACGATGATGATGACAGACTTGAAGACCCCCACCTAATGATGAGCAAACTTGCTTGTACAAAGGTAGTCTGTGTGTGTGCGTGTGTGTGTGTGTGTGTGTGTGTGTGTGTGTGTGTGTGTGTGTGTGTGTGTGTGTGTGTGTGTGTATGTATATATATAGTAAATATTCCCATTCCCGGAATTCTATGAAAAGGAATTTCCTTCACCCGGAACAAAAACCTATGCATTAACATTTTGACTACGATATTACATGTTACCGGAATTTACGTAAGCGGAAATTCCACTACCCTAACCCGGATTGAGACGTCATGCTGCAGGAGCTTAAATACACGCAACGCCCACCCGATGCTACGGAAAGACACGACTTCTGAGACACATTTTCACTTCGCGTTTTTCGATCATCAGATTCGAAACAACGACGTGTGAGTGAGTTTTTATTGGCGTGCGTTTTACTGTAATTGTGAATGATTTTAACTTTATTCACTTAACGTCCTGTAGAACGCGGCACTAGCTTAAAAGCAGCACCCACTCGACACGACCGAAGAAAC